AAAAGAATTCAATGGGGGAAATTAGAAAATATTTAAAAGTGAGTATTAATGAAAACAGAATTTATGGGAAATTTAAATATAGGAAGTTTAGATATAGGAAATATAAGGTATACATAATAGTCATTGACTTCATTATTTTCCATTTTGATCTTTATTCTTGCTTTTGGGTTGCATTTGCTCTTTTCTGGTATTTTTAAGGTGAAAGTGTCTGATGTCATTGATTTGAGATCTTTCTTATGTGATACAAGTTTCTGCTATTAATGCTTACTCAAAAAGAAACAGATAACTTTTTATAAAGAAAACTCCAGGCTGGGCACGGTGGCTCACGGCTGTAATCCTAGCTCTCTAGGAGGCCGAGGTAGGCGGATCGTTTGAGCTCAGGAGTTCAAAACCAGCCTGAGAAAGAGCGAGACCCCGTCTCTACTAAAATTAGAAAGAAATTAATTGGACAACTAAAAATATATAGAAAAAATTAGCCGGGCATGGTGACGCATGCCTGTAGTCCCAGCTACTCGGGAGGCTGAGGCAGGAGTTGAGCCCAGGAGTTTGAGGTTGCTGTGAGCTAGGCTGACGCCACGGCACTCTAGCCTGGGCAACACAGTGAGACTCTGTCTCAAAAAAAAAAAAAAAAAAGAGAAAACTCCAGGTCCTTAGATGGCTTCATTACTGAATTCTAGCAAACAATTAAGTACCAATTCTACCCAAACTTTTTCAGAAAATTCAAGAGGAAGGAATACTTCCTAAAATCAGTCTTTAAGGCCTAATTGCCTTAATTGCCCTAATACCAAAACTGGACAGAGACATTACAAGAAAAGAAAGCTAAAGACCAGTGTTTCTTATCAACATAAATGCAAAAACTCTAAACAAAGTTTTAGCAATTGGAAACAATATATAAAGGCTAATAATACCTCTTGACCAAGTGTGGTTAATCCTAGGCATGCTTTTCTCAGCATTTGAAAAACTGTATAATTCCCTGTCTCCAGGCCAACTTCATGTCCACGTGACCTGTATAGTCACACACTGCTGCACCCTCGGAAGAAGGGGTCCTGTCCTTGTCTTAATGTCCTGCTGTTACCATCTTGAAATTCTTCACAGTTCTACATTTGAACTTGTGATTTTTATGTAAAGTGTAATGGGACAGTGGAGCATGTGTGCAAGCAGACAGGATACTTCAGAGGCAGTGTGCTCACTAAGCCGTTGATCTGGCTGTTTGATGCAGTCTGGGGTGTCCTGGAGTTGTGACTGGGTGACCAAGACTAGGACCCTTTTCTGCACTGATGACAGCAGCAGCAAACCCAGCAACTGTAGCCCAGTGGTTCCAGCCCCCACGGAGTACCTACAGTGGAAGGGTGGCTTGCCTGTCTCTTCTCTGAGTGTGTTCCTCTGGCACTTGCATGAAATATTTTCTGGCCTGAATACTGGGACCGTAACCTCTACCATTTAGGCAGTAATCATTGTTAGTAAAGTATTATGGAACAAAAGCATACTCGTGGATATTGGGTTAAGGCATATCAGACAGCTACTAGAATTCTTCAGAGTGTAGACTGTCTGGTCTTGAGAACTGCTGCAGTATTGCAAAGGAAGTATCCACAGGCTTAGAAATAGAATTTGATGGAAAACATTATTTTCATATGGAATTTTAGATGAGGCAGCTATTAACAAGGAAGTTAATTTTTAAAATATTTTTTCCTTGCATTTGAAATTATAGCAATAGACTGCATAAACAGGTGTTTTGAATTGTATACAAATCACGAAGCCATTTTTGATTTCTTGTACAGTTACAGAAAATGTCAGAGAAATCATTAAAATGCCATTGTGTAGTATAAATCTAAATTTAAAATTAAATTCAGATTTACACAAAACTAATATTTATGAAGAATTAGTTTTAGAAAAATGCTCCAGAATGTTTTTCTCTATATATGCTAAAACATATTTTGAAATAATTTATCAGAAATCAGAAATTTAGACCATGTTGTCTCAACCCATAAAGTACTAACAGCTCCAGTAACAGTTGAATCAGTTGAAAGAACCTTCTCAGAGTTAAAATCAGTGAAAATTATTTATCTTGCATTTGTCAAAAATAGCTAGTGTTACTTTTAATTATATTAATAAATGGATTTGCAGAAAGGAGTGTGAGAAAAATCTTATGATCAATCAATACATCATATTAACAAACTATTAGTAATTAATGTTTTATATAGTTATTGTACCAAAAATATCATTTTGTAATTTGTAAGTTTATTGTTACTCATCTATCTCTGTTATACATA